ATACTAACTTAGCATATAGTTATGCTCATGGATAGGATTTATTGCATTAAAAGGGTAAAATCCAAACTCATGGCAAGCCAGGCAACTCAAGCCAGGCAGAGGTGTTTAAGAGTTCTTTTCTATCACACACTTAATTTTTCCAGTGAGTTGTGACATGCATCCAGTAAGGAAGTTAATAATGATTCAATGCCCATGGTGTTGTTTAGGGTAACCTCTTCAAATATTAAAGTTTCAAATTTCCACTGCCATAGTCCCTAATATGCACAAAACTTTCACAGAGGACCACCCAAACTGTTTTCCATCAGTTACCCAGTGTCCACTCCAGTGTCCTGACAGTAGTTTTTTTTTTTTTTTTTGTCAGTCGTGGGGCTTGAATTCTGGGCCTGGGCGCTGTCCCTCAGCTCTTCAGCTCAAGGCGAGCGCTTTAGCACTTGAGCTACAGTGCCACTTTCGGTTTTCTGGTGGTTTATTGGAGATAGGAGTCTCACGATCTCTCCTACCTGGGCTGGCTTTGAACCTCCATCCTCAGATCTCAGCCTCCTGAGTAGCTAGGATTACAGGCGTGAGCCACCAGCGCCCGGCTTGTGACAGTACTATTTGTGATTCCTCTAATAACAGGACTAAGTTATCAATACTCTCTGTCAGTCACTATACCCTGAAAACTTGCTTAAAATTTATGGATTTCCATGTGTAACATTCCCTATTTGGGCATCTCCATGAAGAAGATGATGTATAATTTTTGTTTCCTGAAATTCTAATACTATATTTACCTTTTCCTTTTCTTTGTGCTGGTAGTTAGCTTTAAACTCATGGCCCATTAGTCTCCTTTGGCTTTTCCTTGGGGCACATGTCAAATTTTGACATTGTTTTTAGTATCATAAAACCCCATATCTGATGAAGACAGTTTAGGTGTGTTCTCTTATCTTTTCCCATCCAAGATGCTTACAAAGGCACATTAGAAAAACTACAATGTTTTAAATTAGAAAAATATTATAACAATTTTATAGCAGAGTCTATGGTGAAGATTAAGTTCTTTAATATTTTGTAACACATTTTCTTTCTTTCTTTTTGTTGGTTGTGGGGCCTGAACTCTGGGCCTGGGCACTGTCCCTCAGCCGTTCAGCTCAAGGCTAATGGCACAACGCCACTTCGGGCTTTTTCAGTTTATGTGATACTGAAGAATTGAATCCAGGGCTTCATGCATGCAAGGCAAGCACTCTACCACTGAGCCACCTTCCCAACCCTCTAACACATTTTCAAAAAAGATATAACAGATTTATTTTATTTTATTTTTTGTCGTGTGACTTGAACTCGGCTTGGGTGCTATACCTCAACTCTACAGCTCACGGACAGTGCTCTACCCCTTGAGCCATAGCACCACTTCCGGTTTTCTGGTGGTTTATTGGAGATAAGAGTGTCACGGACTTTACTGCCTGGGCTGGCTTTGAACCACGATCTCAGTAGATCTGAGTAGCTAGGATTACAGGTGTGAGCCACCAGTGCCGGGCTAGTACAGAATTTTTAAAAAGGTAAGGAATATAGATTAAGTAATATTAAGCAGTCCCACATGTAAATGAAGCATTCAGAAACTCTTTGTGAACATACCTCCATAGAAACAGCTCAGATTTCCCTTCTCTCCGGACTTTAGACAGGAAACTGAGAATGTCCCAGCTGTACATAAATGTGAACCTCTTAGCTCTGAGTGATGGTTGGAGTAGAAGGCAAGATATACATTATCTCCTCACTGTGGTGACAGCTCATCATGGAATGTTCACATTGAATACCTGACATGGATAGTTTTACTTGAAAAGTTAAATCCCAGGACCACATGTTATATTAATGTCTCTCTACGAAATCATTTTAAAATAACAAAAAATTAGCAGCCTTCAATATGTACTTTCAGTGATTGTGAAAATGTCAGTGTGAAGTAAAGATAATGGTGACATAAATTTTAAAAAACACACAAAATTTCAAGTTCCCCAAAACAGAGCAATTAGTATAAGCTATATTGGTTACAAACAGAATTTTGGAGTTATTTATTTGGGAGGTATTATTTCAATGCAGGAAACTGTTTTATCATTTAACCAGAAGCTAAGCTTGTAATCAGTCCTTTAAAAGGATGGGAGATTTAGTCCTTCTGTGTTGTCTTTGCAGCATAGCTACATCTAATTACAAAGGAGGATGAGTAATGTTGCCTCTAGATGGAGAGGAATTCTAGTTGTCTATGGAACTTACAAACTTTGTAATTTTAGTTAATATACTTTCCTTAGAATGCTGAACCATGCTAGCATGTAATGTCACTAAGCATCATTGTTATTATCAGTCTCTTCTTATAGCAGTTGGTCATGTTGCAGAGTTGGTTTAACTCTGTCTTTCCCCTTCAGCCTACCAGGAGCTCTGAAGTTATCAGAAGTGGTTGCTACCTCCCTATCAGTTTTCCTCTCTTACAGATTGCTGGGTCATATTTATAGTGTCATCAAGCTTTTAGCATTTGAGGATAACCTTTTTCTTTCCCGTTCAAATATAATAGCCAATGTCTTCATCCCAAGGAGATTACAAGAATTTCACATCTCTTTGAGTGCTTCTGAGTCTCTTGGATCTTGCACACACTGGTTGTTGCCCACAACCTCTCTCTGTTCTATAGCCTCTGGAAAGTCCCCCATCTGTCAGTATAGTTCACTAATTCCCCACACTGAAGTCTGAGTAATCATATAAAAATATAAAACTCATATTCCATCCTACTACTTACCATGAATGGGATCAGTAGAATTTTTTGAATATGATTTTGAATGCTGTTGATGGTCTGGTGCTAGCCTTTTTACCCCATCTTAGGCACTGAATATAATGTAATTTTCAATATCTCACTGAGGATATGATTCTTGTCAATTCACACCTTTTTATATGCTATTCCCTCTGTCTGTAATGCTCTTTCTGACCATCTTGGCGTACTTAATGTCTATATATTTAATACAGTTCAGACAAAACCTCTCTGCCTCCTGAAAACCTTCATAACTGCCCCTATGTAGGTTTAGTTATGCACTCTTGTTATTATTGCCCCAGGATAGATTCCTAAGAACCTCACATTTCTCTTTTGAAAAATCTCATCACACTATATTCTTTATTGATTGTCTTTTTTTTCCCCTATGCCACAGTGGAAACCACATGTGTGCAAGGGACTATGTCTATTTTGTTTGCCACTTCATCATAAGATGCCTTGACATTACACTCAACACATTTTGTTTGAGCACAGATGTATTGGTCAACTGGTAGTAGTTCTTGCATTTGACCCTAATTTTGGGAAGCTCACTTGTGATGTGTGGTCTGCAGAAGTCAGACTATGCAGCTCTTTCCTTGCCTGATTCCTCAAGTTCTGAACCTTTTGGACTTTCCCCTTTACAGCACAATTCCTGATCTAGAAGAATTCTTAGGTTGTTAGGATGGGGAAAGGCTTTGTTAGAAGAGAGAACTTTTACACTGCTGGTGTAAGAAAAGAGGAAATCTCTACCAATTTCCCAGTGTTTTCTTGAAGTGCACAGAGGGTCTGCATTAAGTTGTGGAGGCTGTTTCTCTTGCCATCACTCCTGATGAGGAAGGAGGGAGGGTTAGCAAAGAATATTTCCAGTATGGAAGGAAATGGAGTTAAATATACCTGCTTGGCTTATTTATCACTTTCTCTGGAAATCCTTAAGCTTCTTTCAGATTCCTGCTATTTTCTCTTAAGATGATGATACATGAGTGTAATTTCTCCTAATACTCTACGTCTCCAAGAACTGAAATGTTTTATATTAGTGGTTATTTAAGTGTGCCCCTTCACTTAACTAACATTTATTAGGGTGTGTTTTGTTTAAGTTCTGACCTGAGATTTTGGAATACAAAGATGGGTACACTAGAGTTGCTATCTGGGAAGAAATATCCATGGTAGACACTCAGGAAGAGGTATGTAGTGTTTGAGAAACCCAGAGGATGGAGGTAGAACTCCTAGTTATTATTTGGAAGCTTGAACATTGCCATATCTTAATTAAGTAGTTGGATGACCTCAAAGGCTTTGATTGTACCATTAAGTTTACTTCCTCTGTTACAGTGTTTTGGAGATTTTTCACCTGTATCTTTTGATTTCCTGGGTGGTAGTACATAAGGTTAAGAGTAGGAAGATGGGTACTGGAGGCTCATGCCTATAATCTTAGCTACTCAGGAGGCTGCAATCTGAGGATCTCAGTTCAAAGCCAGCCTGGGCAGGAAAATCTGTGAAACTAAAGCCAGAAGTAGAGCTTTGGCTCAAGTGGTAGAGTGCTAGCCTTGAACAAGGAAGCTCAGAGACAGCATCAAGGCCCCTGGACTGGTGCAAAAAAAAAAAAAAAAAGAGTAGAAGTCCTGCAGTCTGATAGACTTGGAGTTCAATTCGGTGCTCATTTCTTATTGTTTACGTGGATAACTTACTCTCCTGTACCTAGATAAAACTGGCTGATTTGATGTGATAGATGCAATGCACTTAGAATGCAAGTAGGTCCTTCATTATATCTTTCTCTAGGTGTTTATGCTGTTTTTTATATTTTAAATTATCTTCAGATAGTTGTACAGTGAGCGTCAATTTGACTGTTACTTTATGAATACAATGCAACTTGATTGCATTTTGTAGTATTACCCCGTCCATCTTTCTCTTCCCATCTATCTTAACTCCACCTATCCCCTCAAGTTACTTAGTTCCATTTTCACCTATAGATTTATCTTGTCATGATATTATATGATAATATTCTTTTGTCAGTAAGACTTTAAACCCAAGAAAGGATTTTTGCTCATTCTTGTTTGGATCATTCTGTAACTAGTTTGTCTTATTATATTTAGCTTCACACAATAAAGGCTGAATTGCTAATTTTTTTTAAAAAATAAAGTGACCTTTTGTATAAATACAGTGTAAATATTATAAAAATACAACACAAACATTCTTTTTAAATGTGCATAAATTATCAATTTATTGAGGTAAGCTTATACATTCAAAAAATGATCTGGTTCTGAAACAGATTCAAACTGCCTAGGCACTTATATTATCATTTCAAAACTATGACATATAAGATTTAAATGGCACTTTATAAAAATTATAAATAGCAATCATACATAAATTAATTCATATTTAAATTATCAATAAATTAAAAATAATTAAAATAGTGTCCTAATGTTCATACTGTCAGTTCTTCGTAGAGAACAACATAAGGTAGATCCCCAGTGGACAGGGATGGTTCTGTCCTGACCATGGAAAGGAATGCCTGTACACACCCATAATATTAGCTGCTGTGCATTACAGTATCCGAAGAGCTCTTAAACTGAACTGCAGGAAAGTCTCAAGGCTGCTCAGGATGAGGTGAATTATCATGTTCTTCTGCCACTCATTCTGTGACTCCAGCTCTTTCAGTAGGAGAGCATTTGCAGTTGGGCTAGGGAAGACTATTTCATCTTGATTCTTTATCTGAAGAGGAAAGAAAGCAAAAAGGATTGTTTAAATATAAAATAAATCCTTCTCAGTGGAGATATGCTCAGGACTGTAGGAAAAATATTAACATTTGGGTGGAAGAGACTACTTTGCCTCAGCCAAGTCAGGGGAAGTGCTTTTGCTCCACCCCTACCCTGAGAAGGACCTAACTATTCTTTTCTACTTTGTCTCCATTAGATGGTAACCATCCAGAGGGCACCCTCATTATCTTAATTTCCCTTCTTCTGTGTTATCCAAAATAGTATCGGACACATAATTATTATTTAATAGCTACAGGCAAGCTAATGAGTTCTAAATATTGTACTTTTCTCCACTCTTCTTCTCAACTATCCATCTAGCATCTGTTGAGAGTCCAGTGAGACAGTAGTGTAAAGAGGATTAGAAATGTCTTTCTATAGGACCATTGGTATGGTGATAATTCCTTGTGTAAGGCTTTGAACCTCTCAGTGTGGTCCTTGAGTAGTGCAGCATTAGCATCACTAGACCTACTAAATCAGAATATGCAGGGAAACAATCCCGAGGGCATTCCCATGCAGATTAAAGTATGAAGAGCCCTGGAGTAAGACATGTGAGAGAGGCAGGCTTACTACAGGGCCCTCCTCTTTGCTTTGGTCATGTACCATCTCTCCATTCTCTTCCTTTTAATAGCTAGTTGCTGGTAATGGCTAAGGCCTCCTTTGGCAGTCTTTAGCTTACTTCTCTGCAGTGCAGTAGCAAGAATCTAACTTGTGCCACGCCTACTCCAGTGGAGTCTGCTTAGCATGGGAAACCAGCTTTCAGACCTGAGAATGGGGCTTCAGAGCCCTATCTCTGAGTATTGGGACTTCACCGAAGTCTACCTCAGAGAATAGGGCTTCAAAGAGGCCTACTCCTGGAAAGGCTGGCAAACCCCTGGGAAAGATGTGTTTCTGCTTTTCTTTTCTTCACTGTATAAGAGTGCCTATTAAGCTTTTACTGTTTCTACTGCTCTTTGTACTTACTCATGCTCAACGTTCCCTTATTCAAAACTCTTTCTTAAGAGTGTTGACGACTCCAATATCTGATGAGTGTCTTAAAAATATGACTAACTCACCAGAGTTAAGTGCTACCCTGACAGCCCCTCTTATGGAGGCTAGTAGACAAGTCATAAGTAAATATAAAAGTATTGGGGGTTTCATGAAGTCACTTCAGCAGAAGGAATTGTTTGTAAGAGATTTGCAAGAAGCTGTAGGTGCAACTAGAACAGAAAGAATGTATGGCAATTGCGGAGATAACTACCTAGGAGAAAGAACTTCCTGTTACTCTCTTTCATTTACTAAGAGACTTGCTAAATCTAGGCCACCATAACCTTACTATTAAAGAAGGAACTGGAAAGATCTTATGGGACAGTTAAGGCCTCTATAGAAATAAGGTAATGGTTAGTTAGTGACAAACATCGAAACCCATTATATTTCTTAGAGATAAGCCGGAAACAAGTGCCTAACAGGCGAACAGCTGGTGACCACCCAAGAATGAAGCCCTGCAGCAAGATTGTGTAACCTTTTGCCCTTTCAGGCGACCAGCTGGTGACCACCCAAGAACGAAGCCCTGCAGCAAGATTGTGTAACCTTTTGCCCTTTCTTATGGAGACTTTTGCTATAAAAGTTTATTATCCTCTGCATTAAATCCCCCTCAGCATCCATTCCTCCTTGTGTGTGAGTTGTCTGTTTGCCATCTCCCCACCTATTCCAGTTGCTCCACTAGGTGTCCTCCGTCGTCCCCACAGGTGATAATTACTTGTGTAAGGCTTTGAACCTCTCAGTGTGGTCCTTGAGTAGTGCAGCATTAGCATCACCAGGGAGCTCTTGGGAAAAAGGAATCTCATGTCCCACTCTAGACCTACTAAATCAGAATATGCAGGGAAACAATCCCGAGGGCATTCCCATGCAGATTAAAGTATGAAGAGCCCTGGAGTAAGACATGTGAAAGAGGCAGGCTTACTACAGGGCCCTCCTCTTTGCTTTGGTCATCTACCATCCCTCCATTCTCTTCCTTTTAATAGCTAGTTGCTGGTAATGGCTAAGGCCTCCTTTGGCAGTCTTTAGCTTACTTCTCTGCAGTACAGTAGCAAGAATCTAACTTGGAGCAATTAACTACTAAAATATTTTTTGCGTTCTTCTTTTATAAAGGCTCATTGAGTATAGTTAGATGTGCTTTCTTCTGGTTATTTTTCTCATCTCTTAAGCTATTGGAAATGATGTCAAAATCCATGTCACTTTTACAGTTTTTAATGGCAATAGATGTTCTTTGCAGAAGA